CAGTTTCCATAGAGGGCGCACTTTAGCGAACTTATCATTGGGGTCAAGATTATTATTGTCGGCAACATGGAAATAACGCAACAAATCTTCAAAACGATTTCTCGACATAAGAGCAGCCACTGTTGGAAAACTGCAATCAACTCTTTGTTCCCAATACATTCTATATCTCGATACACTGTTATATCCCGATAATAATAAAATGGCGATAAAATGTTTTATATCCGTCGTAGTAACCCGAAAAGCATGTTTACCCTTCTGAATCGCATTTTTTTCTGTTTCTGACCGCAGTAATTCGAATACCTCTTCATCAAAAAATAGTTCAAAAAATTGAACTGGGTTCTCCAGGTTTTCCAAGAAATCCGGTTCACAGTACTCCTTCTCAGGCTTTTCTGGAATATCAACAAACCTCCACTTTCTTGTGACTTCAAGACGTCTTTTTTTTGGAGGTGGCTGGGTCACCGTCGACGAAGAGGGTTGTGGAGGCTGCGATGCTGACGATGTGGAAGGTATTGAGTGCACTTCTTTTTCGTAACCAACGAACTCGTTCACTATCCTAGACTCAGACGATCTGGTGACCCGAAGTTCAGCTTCTGCAAGTAACTGATTTCTTGACAAATTATTTATACTTGCAAACTCTTCGTCACCACTGTCTTCGTCGCTATTTTGCCAATTATCAGGAGGTGTGATGAAAATATCAGCCCCGAACACGTCGTCGTCTTCCTCCAAGTGCGAAATTATCTCATTCACGTTTAGTCTGCAATAAAATAATATCATAATTAGGTGTCAATACTCATAAAATAAAAATCCGAATGTATAAACGTTACATGTGCGTATGTTCCTACTGCTCCAATAATGGAACAGTACATAAAACTTACACTTACCCACAAATTAGCAACGTTTTTTCCAAAAACGTATTATGACACGATATAACAATATTATTACATTTGTATAATCCCTAAATTGTCAATAGTATAATATAAAACACCATAATTACTTACATTTTCCTGGTCGCCATAATTTTCACTAAAAACGATCAAATAAAATATTTTT